TTGAAAGTTTTTCAACAAGTATTTTGTTTGGTGTTTGTGTTTTTGTGGGGTTTTTTTTGGTTTTGTGGGAGTTTTTTTGTGTGTGTTTGGTTGGTTTTTGTCCTTACACCACGAATGGCCATGTGGCTGGTTATGACATTCTGGACTCGCTTTTCCCTGAAAACACTGTATTAGTTGTTCCACTTTCTGGCATTTATTATGCTCTTCTAGGTTCAAATCTTTCTTTTTTTTCTTCATTATCTCTTCTGATAATACACTGGGGATTTTTGATCTCCATATTTAGATCCTTTCAGCTTCAGAAAATTGTATCTAATTATACCCTTGATGATTGTTTCTTTTAATTGCTCTCTTTTAATCTTGAGAAACATCTAAAATTTATATATATGATATCCATTTCTGTCTCTTTTTTTCTCATCTTTTCTTTGTATTTCTCTGACACATATTGGATGCTCAATAAATATGTCAAGGAAGGAAGGAAGGAAGGAAGGAAGGAAGGAAGGAAGGAAGGAAGGAAGGAAGGAAGGAGGAAAGAAGGGAGGGGAGGGAGGAAGGAAGAAAAAAGGAAGAGAAGGGAAAAAAGAAAAATAAAAAGAAGAAAAAAAAAACAAAGGACAGGAGGGAGAGAGCAAACGAGGGACCTGTCTAGGGGACATGCTTTTAAGTTTATTTTACTCAGCTTTGATTTGACTTTCTGATCAGACATAAGTCTTTCTGACAGAAGTCTTAACTGTGGATATTCAGTGGTTCACCTCCTGTAGCTTGGTGTTTACTTCCTTGCAACCTGTTGTTGTTTCACTCAGCTCCATCTTTTCCTATCAGTCTGTGTTGTTATTTTAAAAATGGCTTCCAAATAGTGTTTAAGGGTGCCACTTTCTGTATTTTACCATACATTCTATATGTACCCTCCACACCCAACTTACACAACAAATCATTTTCAGGGTGATGATATTCTTTTCTTTGTTCTGCACTATTTCCCACCCACTCACCACTGACTTCCTTTTTATAAAAGTTCTTGAGTGATACCACATGGAATTACTGGTCTGCAACAAGTACTGAGGAACCAAGGTGAGATCCTAATCCACCTGTTTGGTTCTCTGATACTTTAAACCATGAACTCAATCAAACATAGGAATTGCCTTATTGTATGGACTGCTGCTGGGGATATTCCTGTCTCTGCCCCAACACACCATTTTCCCTGTAAATGTTATGGCCCCTGAGATATAAGGGGCCCCATCCAACTTCATCGCTCATTCTTATTTCTTATGAGTAGCCATCAGTGGACAGAACAAGATGTAGGAGAGTCAACGGTCTCTTTCAAGAACAAGCATTTTAAATAGATGACTAACCACTTGTATGATTGGTATAAATCTTGGGTCTCTGAGCCAGGTATAGACAGTATGACAATATGATAATGTGTGTGTGTGTGTGTGTGTGTGTGTGTGTGTGTGTGTGTGTGTGAGCGCACGCGCGCGCTGCAGTAGAGAACACATTTTCACCCTATCTTTTCATGCATGCAAAATATAGTTCTGAGATACACTGAATTGTTTTTCTTTTTCTCCACTTTTAATTTAGTATCTGTTAATCCTAGAATATATTTATTCTGATAGGAAATTAATCTAAACTACAGGCTCTCTAAGGACAGGGACTATGTACTTAGCTCACCAGCGAATCCCATGACCTAGTCCACACACAAGGTTGAATGAATAAGTGAGTGATTAAACAAAGGTTGGGATGGATTGAATCAGACCCATGTTTTAATATTATGGACATTACCCTCCACGATAGCTTTCTATTTATATTGGTTTACAAAATGCTTTTCAAATTTTTTAATTAGAAAATTATTCCTACCAGCATCCAGAATATGGTAATGATTTTAATGGGAATTTTCTGTTAGTCCTCTTTGTAAATTTCAATTTTTCAATTTTTCATGTGTAATAAAACTGTTGAAATTAACAGAATTAGCTCATAAGATGTCAAGAGGTTTGGTATGCATATTAAAAAGAAGCATCATTATTATGGGTTTTTTTTCGTTGGTGGTGGTGGGGTTTTTATTTATTTTGTTTTGTTTTTAAAGCTTTCTTGTCTTATCAAAGTCATTACAAGACATTTGGAAAAGAAGGAAAGAAAATTTTCCCATAATCCCAAGACTGGAGTGCAATCACTATTAACATCTCAATACATTTCCTAACAGGTCTGCTTTTTCAATGTGGAGCCTCTGTGGCTGTTGGTGGGAAGTGACTCACCAGCCAAACTCTAGTGGGAGGGTAGACTCATGGAATGTAGGAAGAAGTATAGAATCTATAGTCCTGCAGCTGAAACATTCCTTTTATTATTCGTAAATCCCCATTTTTAAAAATATTTGCTGCTCCCCAAAACCCTCTACAGCACTACACCCCACAGCAATCAAAGAGGTATTCGAACCATCTGAGGGGGCAGACATCAGAGGGAGCTGCACAGAGCAAACAGAGATGTGGCTGCATGCGGTGGGTCATAGAAAGCCCTTAAACATGACTTTAGAATAATCTTGTTCTTCACATCTACACATTTAACAATTTCCAGTAACAGAAACCTAGAAATATTTGCAACTCATAATCATGGGCCTATTATCTAGGGGAAATGGGAAATGTTATCCTGGGGCAAATCTGCATGTGTCCAGGATGGTGTGGGAAGATAGAATTTAGATGGCAAAAATGAGCAATCTAAGCAAAACAGATAATTTTCTTAGTAAGTTCAAGCTAGACATTGTACCATAGCTTAGTAAGAAGAAATTGGAATTTTCTATTAAGTCTCTGCTTTGTAGTATTCAAAGGTTACATGAATTATGGGTATGCCAACCATCTAACTATTTCTACAAAGTTTTCATTTCCGATTGGGGTCAACCATGCTCACCCATCTTTTGATCGCCATTGTTAAATCCTAAATTCGATCCCGCCCTTCGCCCTCAGGTTCTATATAACCTGTTCAGATAATTATAGAAATCTAAATGAAGCCCCAACTCATGGGATACAGGTTTAAAATTCTGATACCCAATGCAGACAGAGCAGATGAAAGACCTACCACCCACCTCACAGGAAAGGGCTCTTTCCAAACACATCCCTGTGTGAATGTGCTCAATTTTAATTATTATTTTGAAAAAATATATTGTTTCTAGCAACACATAATTAGATATGTTTTCTTTTTTGTTGCTAAACATTGTAGTATGTTATATAGCATAACATTTTGCTTCTTTTTGTTCACTTAACATGCTATGATCAAATATCTCCATTTTGTTAAATGGCCGTCAAAGACGTCATATTAATAACTGCATCATACCCCATGCAATGGACACAATACCATCTATTTTTTCCGTTGTTGGAGATTTCAACTGAGTCAGTTACTTTGTGACATCCCAATGTGGCATATTCTCTGAAAAAGTTTAATGATTTAAAGGTTGAAGCTTTTTGATATTGTATGAAGACCAGATATCTCCCAGGGAAAAGGGAAATGTACCAGTCAGGGTTGTTTATGTTGCTCTGCTTTGTTTTAAGAACAACTCACCAACTCTGTTCTGTTTATAGAAAATAGCTACTTATATACTATAGCTATAATAGAGTGAGTTACTTTATATAAAGATGCCAGGGGGTTGGGTACCATTTCAGAAAGGCATATGGAATAATGGAAACTATGGGCCCAGTCGCACGCACACATCTCCTGTGGTCAGTTGTTATATATTTTGATTCCTAATGCACAGGAAGATGTCCTCTAGCAGGGCCCAGTCCTGGCAGCTGGCTGGAGGAACTGGGAATATCTGGGAAAGAAGAAAAAGACTCTAACCAGAGACCACTAGGCCTCCCCTTTTCAAACAACAGTAAATGATGACTCTCTTCTATCATATATAATTTAGCTGTGAGGTTTGGCAACTTCTGAGTGAAATGAGTATAAAATAAGAAATGCAGCCATGTGAATGAAAGACCGTTGGTCTAGCTGTCCTGTGAATGTCTAAATTCAAGATACAGATGAGGGAAGGAGACCGAGGCAGCACTACAGAGTGGCTGCTTTTATAGTTTCTGTCCTGAGATCTTTCTCTTCCTAACTTCATCGTATTTCTGTTTTATTTTATATTTCTCTGGTTACCATCTGCTATGGGCTGAATTGTGTTCCTCCAAAATTCATATATTGAAGTCCTACCCCAAATACCTCAGAATGTGACTGTATTTGGACATAGGGTCTTTAAACAGGTCACTGAGTTACAATGAGATCGTTATGGTGGGCCCCAATCCAGTATAACTGGTGTACTTTTAAAAAGAGGAAATTTTGACACAGGCAAGGCCCAGACACAGAGGGAAGACCATGTGAAGACACAGGGAGAAAATGATCATCTACAAGTCAAGGAGAGAGGCCTCAGAAGAAGCCAACCCTGCTGACACCTTGACCCTGGACTTCCCAGCGTCCAGAACCACAAGACAATTAACTTCTGTTGTTTAAGCCTCCCCGTCAGTGGCATTTTGTTACGGCAACCTCGGCAGATGAACACGCCATCATTAGATTTACATGGAAGCCACACTTTTAGGGGTCCACCCCACGCTGAAACCCTACAAAGCAACTTTCCCAGTGTGACTCATTAGCTGGTTCTTTTAGTTCCCTGAGGACAAACAGGTGAATGGGATCAAGCCCAGGACACCCTATTTATACCTAAGGAAGAGATGGAGCTGGCGCCAAATCAATATTCCCGTGAGGGCACTGCCCCATCTTTCTCCTTTGTCTTTGTCAAGCGGATATTTCCCAGAAAGTTGTATTGGGCGTGCACTGGCTGCCTTCGGCAGAGACCAGCCCCTGGTTGAGGAGCCACTGAATCAGGACCTTAATCAAACACAAAATGACAGAACTGTTTCCAGCGGAGGATTAATTGAGCCAACTCAAGGCAAACACAATGTATTCTCGAATCGCTTCTGACAGATGGAAAGAAAACAAACATTAGGAAACAGATCACAGCTAACAATATGCAAAATTAAAGAAGGTACCTTTTTAACTTTGCCTGGGAGCCCACCGGCTTTTCTTATAAAACCTGCAAAAGAAAATAGACAGAGCTGTTAATCTCGTTACATAACCAGTTAGCACGTGCAGACAAGAGGAATTAAAAGTCTTTGCATTCAGGGGAGGAAACAGATATCTGACACATATATTTATTAAGGAGACTGGACTGGAAAATAGCACCGCTGTCTTAGTCAGAAATGGTGTAGAAAATACTTAAATAATACAATAGACTGTGCACAGACAGCATAAGCTGCTTACAAATGAAAGCCGAAGGTCTAGGTATTCTTATTTGAAGGTTAAATTTTCAATTAATTTTTTTTCAGCTTGTTGCCATCTCTTGCAAGCGTCATTGTTAATTGCTCTAAAACAATGTCTCTCCCTGTTTGAATTCTGGACATGGAGGCCAGAAGCTGTCAGCCAGCTAATGGACATCAGAGTACTGGGGCAGAAATCAAAACTACTGTGTAAAAGCTGAACCAACATGTCAGGTTTGAGAAGCCAAATGATTGGTTAAAACCCCCTTTTTTCATGTGCTCAGTTTTTCAGAAGTTATATTCATAAGCTCTAGCCTGTCACTGAAAAGTATAAATGGAAAAGTCCAAATATCCCAATTTCAGGGGGTTCAGGGCAGAGCAGGGTCTATAGCTACATTAACTCAGTGTATCAGCAGAGGAATTATTTACATTGTTCTTTAGAATAGAACACTATCAAGCTAGCCATGTCCCTGGCTGTAAATGAGCTTATCCATGTCTCCTGCTGGGTTATCTGGCAGTGGAGTGCTCTCTTCCAGTTAACAAACGCCCTCATGGGCTGCGGTGATAGAAAACAGAATTTAGAAAGCAATTGGATTGTATAGAAATTGGGTTGAAAGTAGGGCTACATCTTGAGTTGAAGGAGAGGATTAGAACAGAGGCTTGGGGTGTAGATACATTCACATATGTTTTGGCTTGAGAGTCAGAATTAATTTTGAGGATGGTTTTAAGTTGAGAATAAAGGAGAAGAATGGCACTGAGGATAAAAATGTGAAGCATTCAATTTTAAATAGTATCATAGAAAAAACATGAATTTTATTTATTTATTTTTTTTTAAGAGGGCACAGTTCACAGTAGCCCATGCAGGGACTGAACCAGCAACCTTGGTGTTATCAGCACCACGCTCTAACCAACTGAGCTAACCGGCCACCCCTGAATTTTATTTTTAATAAGGCAAATCTAGTCTTGTAACCCAGCTCCATCGTGTATACTTTTGTAAACTTGCATAAGTCACCCAACATCTCAGCCTCAATTTCCTCCTCATTTGTAATATGGAATCATAATGTGTACTCTGTGACTTCTTGAAAGAAGTAGTAAAGCAGGTAGATGATAGGTCAACTTTGTTCCCCCTCCTTCAAGGGGACATTTGGCATTGTTTGGAGATATATTTGATTGCCAAGACTTGGGCAGGGGGTGATACCAAAACCTAGTGGACACAGGCTCAGGATTCTGCTAGACACCTCACAATGCACAGGAAAACCCCCCAAAATTATCCAGCCCAAAATATCAAAAGCGGTGATACTAAAAACCCTGGATTAGATCTAGGCAGGCAGATGATAAAAGATAGACACGAAACTAATGGAAAAATTTATTTTGGAGATTTATAGATTATCTACAAATCTATAGATTAATTGATTGATAGATGAGAGATGTAACATGAGACACTTTAGGCATTCAACAAGTGGAAGTGATTTTTTCCTTTTATTAAATCTGAAGATAGGATTAATAGCATTAGGGTTGGGGTGAAATAGTGGATGTTGCTAAAGGTGAAATAATAATGGTAGCAATGAAAACATGCCAGCCGTCATGCTGAGTGTTTTCTATTTTTACCACATTTAAGATTGGGGTTCATCCAAGTCTAAGATTAGGGTTAGTGTGAGAGCTATGGATTGAGTGCAGGTTGGGATCAGGGCTGGAGCTGAGGGACAACCCCACTGGTCGACACTTCCCAAGGAGCAGCCAAAGCTAATTATTTTGGAAACGTGTAGACCACCCCACCAGCATCAAGCACCCCAGTCTGAGTCCCTGCAGTTCAAGGGAGGACAGCAGTGATGTGACATGTCAGGGTGGCCCACCCCACTTTCTCAGGCAACGGTATCAATTTATCTGGAGCACACTGATGACCCAGTTCCGTCCCAGTCTCCGTGTCCAATCCCATGAGGAAGGAGCAGGTAAACTGCTTCCTATAGCTACCCTCTCAAATACAAACTGGACAAGCATATGTCTTTCCTCAAAGTGGGATTAGTATTGGAGTTTTCCTAGCATTTGACCCTCATTTCTCTTGGTAGGTATCTGGAAATGGAATTTCTAGGTCACTTCGTAAATTGATGTTTCCCCTGGTGGGGTCTTGAGTAGACATTGACCCAGCCTCCTCCTCAGCACTGTGCAGGGTAATAACGGGACAGCCTGAGAACTCGCCTCCTATGTGCTCATAGCATTCATGCCCTGGGAGATTTCCCATGAAAGCTTTGAAATTCCACCTACCTTTAAACTGAGGACAGCCTTGGAGCAGTGACCTGAGGTTGCGATTTCAACACGAGGAGTCTCTAAAATACAAAAGATGTGAAATCATCTTGAAGAGGTGACAACACATAAGATGATCATGTGATATTACTGCCATCACTATTGTTACTTGCTTGTCATCTGCTATTTGAAATGGAGCTTTAAGCTCTATGCGGTAGGGTTAGGAAGCAGCTAAGATCTAATGCAAAGGCCTCTTGATGCTTTGTCCCATCACTTTCACCCCCCAGTTATGGGAAATTCCATCAAGTGATTTGCCTCCCCAAGCTCTAATTGCTTCACTTAAAAAAATGGGGCCACCAACCTCATCTCTCAGGGTTTCCAGAGGATTAAACAAATTGGCAACACATTTAGTCCAGTCTCATGGGGTTGTTGGGTGGTTACCTGACCTTAATTTTAATCTACAAAGGTTTTATATCTCAAGGGAAACCTCAAAAAACCAACAGACATATGTTACAGGATAGGTTGCCTAAGATTCTGAGTCCAGTTTCAATGACGGACAGGGAGGGTAGGGGTCCCACACTGAGCAATTCTCTAAAACCAGCTGGAAGCCTTACAATTTAACTCAATTCTGACACTATCTACCTGGAGACAGCATCAGTCCTATAAGACTGCCTCTCCCACTTCAGACACGAGTCACAAGTCCAGGTTGTCACCCGTACTTCTGGACCAACTACCTATAGATTGGAGATTCCAACAACCCACTCCTAAGGTTTCATTAATTTGCTAGAGCAGCTCACAGAACTCAGAGAAACATTTTATTTACTAGATTACCCATTTTTTTATAATGGTATATAACTCAGAAACAGCCAGGTGGAACAGTTACCTAGAACAAAGTGTGGGGAAGGGGCCAGGGCTTTCACACCTTCTCCCTCCAAGCACACCACCCTCCCTGGGCCCCCAAGAACTCACCAAGCAGAAGCTCTCTGAACTCCATCCTTGGGTTTCATTACGTGAGCATGACTGATTAAGTCATTGGCCAGTGGGGATTGAACTCAGTCTCCAGCTTCTCTCCCCGCCCAGGAAGGGAGGGGGTGGGACTAAAAGTTCCAGCCCTCTAATCACAGGGTTGGCTCCCCTGGCAACCAGCTTTGGGTTGGCTAATCATCTCCCTCCCTCCCCGCCCCCAACCCCAGCTTTAGGAGATTTCCAAAAGCCACCTCATTAACATTACTCAGCTGAAAGGGGATTGTTAGGAGTAACAATCTACCATTTCACAGTTAGGGCTCTGAGGCGATTTCAGGAACAAAGGACAAGAAACCAAATACTGTAACAAAAGATGCACCCTTTGGTCATGGCTCAGGAAATGTCAAGAAACAGAACAAATGGCCAGAAACAGAACAAAGACCAAATATGTATTTCTTATTATAAATCACAACTGCACACTTCCTCATTTTATTCACATATTCATTTTATTTCACTGGGGCTTTATTTGTATAGAATGTTGGTATCTCTTTTAAATAGAAGTTACAACAAAAATAACAGTACAACACATTAAGGCCCTTTTACAAGGTGCATTCATATTGAGGATATTATTTAGACTATTAAAACCTGTGGCTCTAGAGCTTGGTTGCTCATTAGAAACACCTGGAGAGTAGTTCGGCTCAATGCTGTGCACCCCTCCCCCCCACCCCCACCCGGGATTCTGATTCAATGGATGGGGTGTGTGGGACTTAGAAATTGGAAGATGTTTTTTTTAACCTTCCCAGGTGACTCCAATGTAGACCAGAGTTCAGAATCATTACAGTGGACTGTGGAGAATAAAGCTACATTTTCTACTGTTCAGCTGAGAAGCCAGAAGAGAAGTTACAGGACTTGCCCAAGGTCATACATCTAAGTGGTGATGCCACCGGGATATGAACCCAGGTCTCTAGCATCAATGCTCTGTTTCCTACTCCACACTTTCTAGAAAGAAAGTTTTACTAAAACTTAACTAAAATGGAAGTCCTGGAGTGCAGAAAGGACAATTTGAGCCCTTGGCAAAAATATACAAATGAGCGGCAATAATAATAGGCTCGCCCACCATGATCTACAGGAGGGCTTCATCTTACTCTGCCTTGGGTGTGCTAAAACCAGGATATGGCTCTGCAGAAAGCTGCTTACTTACTAGGAAGAAATTCAGAGAGAAGTGGAGATTCTAGAGGGACAGATAAATCAATAAGCAAAACTACTGAGCTGGTAAAGCGCCCAGCTCAGCAGTTCAGAGCCAAAAACAGAAAGGCTTCCTGAGCAGGTGGGTGCCTTTATTGTGATAATCAACTCTGGGCCCAAGAAGCAACGAGGTCATCAGGATTTCTGGGATGCTCTGAGGGAAGCGAGTGTGCCCCCAGCGAGCACAGAAATATCACCGCAAATACCTGGGTGGGGCTACCAACTCAGGGTCTCTCGGCACCCAAGGCCTGAGCAAATGTTAGCTAACTCGTGAGTCTGTGGATTGACAGGGAAAATGCTAAACCGTAAGGAATCAAAATTCAAGAATGAAATGGGAACTACAGATCATCAAGTCAAACCCCTCACTGTACAGATTCAAGACAATGAAGCCCAGAGAGGGGCAGTGACTTGCTTCAAAGCCACAGAGCTAAGTGGAAGGCAAATCAAAGCTTCCCTGCCTGGTGATTCTCCCACCATTGAAAACCAAATAAACAAGAAAACATGGGCAAAACACAGACAAGCCCCAATTGTTGTCAGGAAGAAGAGATGGAGAGGTAGGGGGCTTCAGCCTCTGCTCCATCCCCTCCACTCTGTGGAGAAAACTTCCACTTTGGCTTCCACTCTGTGTTAGAGGGATCCAAGGGACCACATGGAAATCTGGATTCTCTGGCTTTGCTGTGTGTCTTGGGATAAGTCACTTCACTTCTCTGGGCCTCCCGTTCACCGTAAGTAAAATGATGAGTGTGAAAAAACAATGCTAACAATCTACTGCCTGGTCTACTCTCTAAACCAGGGATTGGCAAACCACAGCCAATCCTGGCCTGCCACCTATTTATAAATACAGATGCTCCTCAAACCAGTATGCCCAGCGTAAGTTGAAAATACTGTTAAGTTGAAAATGCATTTATTACATGTAACTTACCAAACATCATCGCTTAGCCTCGCCTTCCTTAAATGTGCTCAGAATGTTACTGTAGACAAAAGAATACAGCTGCAGAGAGAGAGGAGGAGAAGGAAAGGAGGCAGTGAGGGGAAACAAAGGAGGAAAGAGAGAAGATCATCCTTAAAAAAAAGGGGTAGCTACCAGGCAGGCCAGAACTAGATATGGTGGCCAAGAGTAGATCCAGGACGCCATCTTGCCCCTCAAGGTGAACTTCAGCTAATTGTAATGGATATTATTAGCATTGCAGGCAGGGAAAATCTCCACCCCGTGTCGCCATGACAGTTCCAACCAAGCCAGATAAGGACAAAAATCCCTCCTTCTGACTGGAAGGAGTGGTCAGTGAGGTGAGAACCCGCCTAGGAATGCCTATGAGGCCATGCCTAAGTCTTGAATATTTAGCACTTTCATTTTTAGTGAAATAAATTCCCAAGTCTCATTGTTCTTCGGAGCAGCTGCTCTTCTCCAGCCTGCCTGCTCTCGCCATCTTGAGAGTGTACCGTCCTTCCCTAATAAATCTTTTGCTTGCTTGGTTTATTCAGTGCGCCCTTGACTTCTTTCCTGTGGTGTACACCAAGAACCTATTTTCTGCCAACCAGAACGCAATATCCAAAAGACGCTGGCAGCACAGTACACTGTAGAGCATCATTTGTTTGCCCTGGTGACTGCCTGGCTGACTGGCATTACAGGAGAGTATCATACAGCATATCACTAGCCCAGGAAAAGATCAAAGTTCAAAGTATGGTTTCTGCTTATCACTTTCATACCATGGAAAGTCAAAACTCCTAAGTCAAACCATCATTAAGTTGGGGACCATCAGTAAAGTTTTACTGGAATACAGCCACGCCCAGTCGTTAGTGTATTCTCTATGCATGGTTTCAAGCTACAATGGCAGAATTAAGCAGATGCACCAGAGACCACAGTATGGCCCACCGAGCTGAAAATATTTACTATCTAGCTTTTTGCTGATTCCTATAAAACAATACACCCTCTGCCTACTACCTGTGAGATACACACACAAAAACACACACACGCACACGTGCACGCGTGCACACACCAGCATATATATTTATACATTTCCTCGTCCAGATAATTTTTCTGCTTATGTGTTTGCCTTTAGTAGAAAAACATTTCAAACATGCAACTACACACAGAAACAAATTCAACACATGATCCTCATCTCTCCCAAGTTTTAACAGATGAAAATATTTAGTTAGATTTTTACGTTTTCAAAATACTGTGTCATAGTCATCTATATTTATACACAATCTTGAATTCTCTTAGAAGGAGGAGGGAAAGACATAGGTACATGCATGAACATTACAGCTAAATGACATGAAGCGTCCAGCCTGGCTGTAACATGATGATTATCATTCTATTTTTGGTTTTTCAAATGAGTAGCAGGGTCTCACGTATGAGACCCATGGTCTAATTTACAAGACACATTTTACCAGAGATTCAGAAAATAATTGAGTTTTTAAAATCAAATACACAGTTTAATATAAAAGTAAAATTGTGACTTTGGTTGATATCTAACCATAGTTAACTAGTAGTGCTTGATGCGCTGCTTACATGCTAATATGAATAAGGCAAAATTTAAAGGAAATAAAGCCTGAGATTGAGTGCAGTACCCCTTTCCATCCATTCTTATCCTTACACCACTTGGTGAAATCTCAATGTTAGGAATCAATCTTAATCAGAATGCCCTTTCATAACTACTATGTATTTTGCTGGGAAAAGCAAAATCTTTGAGACTTCTCTGGATTCCAGGGTTTGCACACCTTCATCGGAACTCACAGCCCCTAAGCTGACGCGGTCCCAGCTCACATGAAACCAAGGACAGATTTTTGTTTCACCCCCTCAAACCTAACAGAAGCTGAAAGGGAAGTTTGACGTCATCAGCATCAATATCTGCCTTCCACAACCTTGAAGTAT